CATGGCATTGCCAACCCCTTTTGGGGGCGGGGGGGAAGTCTCTGCTGGCCCCCCAGGCCATGGGGGGGGGGGGGGCCCCGGGGGTTCAGCCCGGGGGGGGCCTCTGGGGGGCCCCCAAGCCTTTGAAGGGATGTTTCTGGGGGGCCCCAAGCCCTTGGGAGGGGGACTCTGTGGGTGGGCTAGGGGGGTGGTGCTCAGGCACCCCAGGGTGCTCTGTAACCCCCCCCCAGCACTCAGGGGCTTCTTGAACCGGGGCTGAGCCAGACCCAGGCTCTGTATTTACGACCCCCCATGTGTCCCCCCGGACCCCCGTGAATCCCCACCGCTCTTTGAACAGCCCCCCCCCCGCCTTCCAAGCATGGCTGTGCCACCACAGTAGAGAATAATAAAAAGGCATTTATTTCTCTAATAATAAAACCATTTTGGGAAGCACAAGTGAGATTCGCAGGGCGGGCCGAGCCCCCCGGGACCCCCACAGCCAGACCGGGGGTGTCATCCCCCCCATCACGGCGTCAGGCACTTGACGCCGGCGTCCTCGGCGTGGCCGCAGTTGGTCTTGCCCCAGCTGGAGAAGCTGCAGCGCAGAAGGCTCTCCTCTGTCCCCTTGCAGGAGACGTCGTCCATCCAGATCCTCCCCGTGCCTGCAAAAACAGGGACCCGGTGAGCAGCATCGGTGGGCACCGGCATCGGCACCGGCATCGGTACCGGCACCGGCATCGGTACCGGCACCTCGGTGGATCCCTTCCAACCAAGGGCAGGTGCATCGCTGCACCACCAGGATAAAGCAGAATTCAAGCCAGTCTTGAGCAAAAGGCTTCATCCATTATGAAAATTCCCTCCCCGAACTATTATATCGATCCTTCTTTATAGTAACATGTATTAATTTTGTTAAATTATATATTAATTCACATTATACACTGTAATGTAAAGAGGTAGTGGAGTTTTACTGGGGATTTTTGCATTTTTCATGCTAAAGTAAAACAAACTAAAGTGCTAGAAGTAAGGATTTTGCTTCTTGGAAGCTTCAAGCTGTCCACAGAGATGAAGGATGCCCCTGGACAACCAAGATAACAGCAGCATCTGATAGCCCCCCTGATACGGCTTTGACACCCTCCCAGCATCATCTGGGATCATAGATCAGGAACTGGAGCAAGACTGGCTCTAGGGGTGTCTGGATCAATAGACAAGCAGCAAAAGAGCTGCAAAAGTAGAGTTGCTTTCCAAAGTTTTCCTATGATTAGTAATTAGTAACATGGATGTTAGGGATTAGTCCAATTGTGTAGTACCTGAATGCTTGAAGGGGAGAAGAACCCCATTTAAAACCACATTTGAGTGCCCCAATTTGGCTGGGACACCTCACATGCAAGAACAAATCTTGGCTCCTCTAATTTTACACTTTGCATCCCAGCCTCTCACCCTTGTCAGCATGGGCTCATGGCAGGTTGGGGTTGGACTAGAAGGTCTTCACAGGTCCCTTCCAACCCAAACCAAGCTATGATTCGATGAGTCTCCCCATGTGCCCCCGCACAAACACGGACCCCAGCTCTGCCTGCACGGGTGCAGCACAGTCCGTCTGGCACGTGGCAGTGGGGTAGCCCCAGATTTTGGGGGCTACGAAGCCCCTGGAGATGCACAATCCCTGGACTGGAGGAAACACCCCCAGGAGAGACACCAGCCACCAGCACGCAGTGGGTTGTGGCCGTGGCAAGGCACTGGCTGTACCACGCTCCATGGGGAATGGATGGGGTCCTCCTGCCCCATCGAGGATGTCCGAAGGTGGCACCGTGGTGTGGCAGGACCCTTGGGGCTGCACCTCTGCATCTGCTGAGCATCCACAAGTTGCTGGCTGGGGGGATTTGGGTGCTCTCATTGCCGTGCCAAGGGAGCCACAGGAGGAGCAGCAGCTCTTCCCAGTTGGGACAGCCCAAGTCAAGCCCATGCCCCAACACAGGCTCTGGATGATGCATGTGCCAGAATCCCAAGTGGCTGCAGCAGCTTAGGTGGGTGGTGGGAGACGAGGGTGGGAGACAGGGGGAAGAAACCTGGGTGTGGGTAGCCAGGGCAATGGTGGTGAAACAAGCTCTGAGGTCTCCCAAGGCTGGTGTGAAGGACACCAAACCTTGGAGGGGTCCAGCTGCACTTACAGAGCAGGTGTGGTCAACTGGCATGGTCACGGCTAGATGATGGCCATGGTGGCTACCTGCTTGTGGGATCCATCGTCTCCTTCGCAGCCCCGAGCAGTTGGAGAGAAGGCAACTCAAGGAGTTAAAAAGCCTACATGGAAGGAGAGCTGGCCTGGGCAGAAACACCCCAACCCAACGGTTTGGGGCCAAAGGCCACCCCTCCACCCGCCAAAGTGTTCCTGACATTTCCCCTATGTTTTTAAAAGCTTTTCTTTTTTTTTTTTCCTTTTGTTATTCTAAAGAGAAAATAGATCTCAAAAGTCACGTCCGGCTGAAAAACCCAAAGCGTTCATTCAAAAACAATAAGCCTGGGGATGGTTCTCCGGTGCTGAGTCAGCGTGCGGCAGGGCGTGCGCGCCGAGGGAGCCGGAGCAGAGGAAGGAACCGCCTGGGCCGGCGCCAGTGATGTGCTTGCACGCGGTCCTGCAAGCCAACGCCAAAATATTTGCAGACACCCGGGGCTGGCTGTGCTAAATAAACTGATGTTGGGCCAGACTGAAGCTTCTCGGGCCATCACAGCCCATGTCTTGCTCGTGGGGGACATGCTGGCTGCCTCCAGGCTCATTTCTGGGGGGTCTCTGGTTTATTTATGGGCTGGCCTTAGATATGGATGCTGGGCGAGGTGGGGGTAGAGGTGGAGGGATCTTACCTTGGCCGAACCGGGCCATGCGGTACACCTCCTCGGCGCCTCGGAAGCCCAGCATCCGGCACACCACGTCTCCATCCTTCTTGTCCCAGCCGTCGTCGCACACCGTGCCCCAACGCCGGTCATAGAAGACCTCCACCCGTCCCTCGTGGGAGCCGGAGCCGTTCACCAGCCGAATCATCCCCTCCTCGGCGGCTGCTGCCGGGAAGAGAGAGGGAGGTCAGAGGGGACATGGTGGCATCTCCAAGTGCTGCCCCTTGCCCGCCTTGGACCACCTCCTGTGCCCTCCCCGGGGTGCCCGTGGCTGCAGAAAGCACTGGGTGACGCACCTCCAGGAGACCTGGAGAGATCCCACCAGCGTTGGGTATGGTGCTGGAGGGGTCCCATCAAACCCAGGGTTTTGTTGGAGAAGGCTGAGCCTTGCAATGGCCATGCCAAGATGGGAAACCTGTTTGCAGCCTGAAAGTGCTGCACAGAGGGCAGGCACCGAGCAAGGATCAGTCCTGAAGCCATCAAGGTGAGACCAAACAGAGACAGCTCAGGCTTGCAACGAGAAGAGAGATCTGAACAACCGTGCGGGAGAAGGAAGATGCCAGCAAAACCGGGGCACAAATAGTTTCCAAAAGGGACTAGAAAGGGAATCTCAGGTGATTGGGAGGCTCTTCCAGCCTCAAGACAGGACCCTGGACCAAGTCTAGGTTGCCCAGGTGGACCCTGACTTCATGCTTGACAGGACAGTGAGGGGAGGCTCACGCCGGTCCGAAATGCCAAACTGGGGTGGGGGGACATGGCTTGTCCTCTTCCCCACCGTGGCATTGCTCCCTCTGCTCCCAGTTGCCTTTCTGCGGCTGCTCAACCTTCCTCCCTCCATCACCACTCTCCTGCTAGGGGAGACAAGCGTGGATGCCCTTCATCCTTCAGCCAGGGAGAAGCAAGTGCTGCTGGCAATTTATCTGACAGGGGAATGACCAAGGAGCTCAGTACCAAAACCAAACCACAACGGTTCTCCCTCCACCCCCAGCCAAGGAAACCCAGCAAAAGGAACATGCCACAAATCCCATTATTTGGGATGAGAAAGGGGTCAAACGGAGAAAATCACTGTCAGGCAGCTGAGCTCGCTCCGTGACTCACCGCGGGCTGGGACGGCAGCCGAGGGTGGAGCTGGGCTCCCCCAAACAAGGTTGTATTGCAGCTGCTCAGATTTTTATTTAAAGACATTTTCTCAAAGCCAGCATTTGGGTTTGGGGTTTTTTTCACTATCAAAACACACGTTCCCATTAGAAATGTTCAAGGATATTACTTCTCAAATGTGAAGATAAATGGGCTTTGGATTGCTGTGTGAAGCATTTCCAGGCAGACCAAGATCTCCTCCTGGATGACCATCAACGCTCCATCCAGCTCATCCTCTAGATCCCATGGTGGTCCCTGGTGGAGAGGAGGTTGGAGGGCTGCACCCCACTTCCATGCCACCAAAACCACCACAACCACAGCCGCCACCAAAGTCCCAGCAATGTAAAAGGGAACAAAAACTTCTTGTCTGTGAATTTGCCGGTACATGGACCACGGCAGCTTCTCAAGTGATGAACCCAAAAGGTCTCCACCTCACGAAGAGGTGACTGGTGCAGAGGGAGCTGCTGAGCGCTGGGTAAAATCTGACATTGGTCGAACATCTGCTTTAACTCCGCGGTGGTAGGATGGCACGGGCAGCCGTGCTTGGCTGAGGTATCTTCGGGCACCTTGGCTAACCAAGCTGGTGACCACGAGGTTGGCGAAGCAGTGTCCCAACCTGACCCAGGCTCTTGGTGCTGGGAGGTGAAGGGTTAATGGGACATTTAGAGACCAGAGCAGCATTTGGGACCTGCTGCACAGAGATGCAACAGGTTTTGGCACTGCTGGCTGGCTGGGACCTGCACAAAAGTTTGTTTTTTTCATGTTTCAGGCTCTGGGTTTTCCCTGGCTCGCTCCCAGTGGGAACAGGGCCACCCCTTCCAGTGACCTCCAGAAAGCACAGTCCTTGCTTGGCCTCGGCACCGGCCGATCTCCCACTTCCAGGACCCGCTTGGGGTCAGGCTCAAGAAGGGGTCTGGAAACCCTGAGCAAGTTTTCCTGGATCTGGGCAGAGCATCAGGTTCACCAAGGAGCCAGGAAACATCTCCTGCTGTCCCTGAACCATCTCGCTGATATTATTCACAGCCGTGCCGTGGACCCGGAGGGGTGGCATCACATCTCAGCAGAGGGGCTCATTTGGGATGCTGCCGGCCGTCATCTTCGACCAGCCCCTGCCCTCTGGGTGGGATGTCTCCTCCCAGCCATTGAGCATCTTCGCTGAGGCAGCTGCCTTGGCTCACCCCAGGGATGGTGTCATCTGAGGGCTGGATGAAGCAACTCTTCCGAGTCGAACATGTGCACCGGAGCTGCGGACGCTGCCCGGAGAGCTGCTCCAACCAAGCCAAGCTTGTGCCGGGTCCAGCGCTGGTGTCCCCTGCTAGGGAGCCAGCCCAGCCTCCCTGCTCCAGGCGAGCAAGCGGAGGGTGGGATGCGGCCAGGGAAACCCAGGGTCCAGCACTTCTCCTTCTCCACTCGGGTTGAGGTGGCGAGGCACGCAGCGTCGCCTTCCCGGCTCCGCATGTTTGGTGACCCCAACCACTGGCACCGCACCACCCTCGGTGGGGGATCCCCTTGCCTGCTTGCTCTCCGGGCACCAGGGAACATCGTGGCCTCGGGACCATTGTCCCTCTTGCACCCTGGAGCATCCTGGGGCAGGGGATCCTTGCCTGGGTGCTGCCACCTCAGGGCTGGGATGGCTACGGGAAAGCAACAGCTAAATGGGGCATGGTGGCCCCCACCAGGCATAATCCCCTCTGTGAAACCATCCAGCTCTGCCTCCAAAGCTGCCCACATTCCCTGGTGCCTGGTGAACAGGCAGGTGACTGACGATCCAGGACCACCCTATATCCAACATCAGCTCATTGCTCATCCTGTCCAGGACCAGCTCCATAGCTCCAACCCAAATCAGTTGCTCATCCCAAAGTCCTCATTCCTCCCTCCTATGAGTCTGTCCTCACCCCAGCCCTTCGCTGGATGCTCATCAGAGCCTGTGAGCGCTGGAAGACGAAGACTGCTTCCCCAAGGAGGGGAAGAGATGTGCAATCAGGGCACAGATCCAGGCACAGCCAGGACATTCCCATTAATCAGCAGGGTGAGGGCTGCTAATAAAGCCACAGAGCTCAGCCGCATGAGTCCTGGCCACAACCCTTCCACTTAGCCTCTAACAAGCATTGCTTAGAGGGCTAATAAAAGGTAATAAAACCCAGAAGTCTCCTCCCAAACCAGTGCCAGCTGCCCATAACGGCCCCACAGCCCAGCCCAGCCCAGGGCTGTTTCCATGCCCACGAGCCCTGGGGACTCTGCAAAAGCTGCAGCTGGAGTCGGGGCTGGGCTCGGGTCCTGGCCCCAGCAAGCTGGCGGAGCCATGGGGAGATGCACCGGGACCGAAGCGGGTTGTGCTCCAGAAAATTGTCCAGGAACGGGCCCTCCTGGTCAGCAGCTCCAGAGGAGCATCCCAGCCGTGCTCTCTGCCTGCAGCAGCCCCGTGCCTGCGAAGTGGCCCAGCCCTGTCGGTCTCGGAGCAGCTCCCTGGCCCCTTCCCTTTCTAATAAACCCTGAAAGCATCATCCTGTGCGTGTGCATTTGTTTTGCTGCAGCAATTACTTTCAAACCCCTCGACCTCCCTGCTGCCCATCCCCCAAAAACAGCAAAACAAGAAAGGAAAAGCGAAAGAGGGGAAATAACTCCTGGTGGCCGAGAAAACAAGGGCCTGATTCTTTGCAGCTGGGCTGAGATATCATCTCCCCCTTCGTAATGGAGACCATCTGCCCCTAGTTCCCTGGGCTCCCCGCCACCCTCTCCTGCTGCCCCTGCTCCGCTCCGGTCCCTTTGGTTGGGGAACATGGATGCAAATGTCAAGTTTCCAGGGGGGGGATGTGGGGTGTGTCTATCCCGGGAAATTAAATAGTGATATACCCCATCATTTGTACTTTGCGGATGGGAACCAGCTGCGCTTGCCCACCAAGCAGTGGCTGGAGGGGGCTGGGGTCCTCGGTCCTTGCTGGGGTGCTCTTGCTTGGCACCGTTTGGGTGTTGTGGTGGCTGGTGGCAGGGACCTGGAGCCCCTCCATGGGCACCTGAGGCAGGAGGGATGTCCCTGGGGTGGCAGGAGGGATGTCCCCAAGAAGGAATGTCCCTGGGCAGGCAGGAGGGATATCCAAAGCTTGGAGGAAACCATCAGCATCTCCAGGGATCTCAGGGACAAGCTCCTTGCAAGGCATAGCCGTAGCGCAGCAGAGGGTGGGCAGGATCCAGCCCCAGGCTCATTCCCTGGTATTTCTTGGCTTGCCAGCCCAGGAGGCCAATGCTGGGGATCGGTGGACACGTGTTAGTCTTGGCCCCAGAAGAAACCCTAAAGCTGGGCACGGCCGTGGTCGGCAGCACGGTGTAGCCCAGGTGCCTCCATCCAAATGGGCATTTCCATCTTTAAGCCCTGGAAAAATGCCTCCTCGGGCCAATCCTGCCATGGGGTGATGGGTGGAAGAGATGTATCCTTCCAGCCCATCATTCCTCTTGCTGCCAGCTCTGGGCTGGCCCCAGGTTGGTGATGATGCTGTCTGCCAGCAAAACACTGGCACGGGTGGGCGAGCTCAGCCCTGAGCTTGATCCTGTTTGTTCCCTGGGGAAAAGTGGGGAGCAAAAACTCCCGGCCAGCTTCAGGCATCTTCAGTCCAACCCCAAGAGCCTGGCCGGGGTCTTGTCACACCAAGGGTTCCTGGGGCTGCAGAGCAAGATGCTTCCCCTGCTTGGCTCTGCCTTAACATCACGACCACTTTCCTCGAGCATCCTTGGTCCTTGCACACTGCTGACATCTCTCCCACATCCCTGCTGGCTCCTCCTTGCCCGCGCAGGGAAACCCAAGCACGGGGCTTAGCAGCCTCATCCCAGCAGTGACCACTGCTTTCATGCCCACTTTGCAGCAGGCATTTATTTCCCCCGCAGGCTCCTAACCACTCCAAACACCACCGAAACCATGCCTGGAGCACCGGGGAGACAACTGCAAGTGAGCGCCTACCTGTGCTGCCGCCTCGGTCCCCCTTCTCTCCCTTCGGGCCTCGGTCACCTGGGAAAAGAAAAAGCACAGGGCATAAATCTAGCTAAAATCAGATTTTTACTGGATATCTTGCTCTTGGGTAATGCTGTGTGTCTGTAGCTCTTGGAGGGCTTTATCAGTTTGGGAAAACTGAGGCACGAAGCAGCAAATTATTTGTCAGGCCCTCTCCTGACCCTGCAGCCGTGCTGCAAGGTGATGGGACCCACCTTCTCACTCCCCCACCTTCTCCCGGGATCCTTCTTTTTAAAGGCAAAACCATCCTGGCCCTGGGAAAACACTGCTTTGTGCAGGATTTATCCCGCGTGGGGCCAGCCACTCCCTGGGCTCTGTGTGTTTGTATTTCATACCCAAAGTGGCTCCTTCCCTCTGCATCTCGGGGGGGGCCCAGCCCTGGGTCTCCCCTCGGTGGGGGGGTTGGAGCTGTGCAATACCCCCCCAATCTGGGTGCAGGGTAAGGATGGGAGCATGGGGAACCCCCCAAAAATCCTCCTGGGGTGCATGTCCTGTAGCAGATGGAGGACGGAGGGTTGGTGGTCCCTCCAACCATCCCACCCCCTCTGCTACCCCCCCCAACCCTGAACAGCCAAGCCCTTCCTGCAGGGCAGTAGCAGAACAGGAATAAGGGAAAGTAAACCCTGAATTTGGGGCTGAAAACCCCTATTTGGGACTCAAAATGCTGCATTTTGCCGGGGTTAGGGACGGGGACGTGGTTTCCCACAGCCTCGACGGCGCATCGACCCTTCCTGCCCCCAGCTGGTACCTCCTCATGAGCAGATTTGCTGAACCCAAACCCCATATCCATTGAGAAACAATGATGCTGGAGGGTTCAGACCAGCTGGGTAAACAGGCTGCCTTCAAAACCACGCCTATTTCCATATAAAAATAATGAGCTGAATAATTATCTGTGTCATGGCTTGGCTTTCTCCGCAGCTTGCCAGGCATGGGCTGCCTCTGCCTGCATCCCACCACCTCCCTTAACCCCTGCCCAAACTCCGGCTTTGCTCCTGGCAGGCAGCAGCCGTGTTTTCCTTTGTGTGCACCACAGAAAACACTGTCCTGAGTGGGACCGTGGGCTTGGCTTTGCTGGTCCTGGCTTTGACCCAAGGCTGCAGAGGGAAGGGGCTGGAGAAGGCTCCAGGCTGCTCCGGCCAGCGATGCTCCGGGTGAGACCCAGCCCTGCGGCACGGCCTCGCTTCAACATATCCTCCTCTTTTGTCTCCGTGTAAGAACAACAAACAACACAGACACACACACTCAGAAATTTCTTATAAAATAATAAAAAAAAAAAAACAAACCCGTGTGCAGGAAATTCTTGCCCTTTAACTTGGAGGCTCTGGGAAGGCAAGATTGCTCCCCTGGGCAGCTGCAGCTGTGTCAGATGGAGGAAAGCTGCCTGCAGCCTGCCCCGCTGATGGGAACCAGATGACAACAGCCCCCCGAGCAGCAGGAGACGGCCAGAGATGCTGCTCGCCAGCACGTGATGGTACTGGGATGCTGGTGTGGCCCGTGCTCTCCACCACCTTCCTTCCCAAGCCCCGAGAAAAGGGGGTTGGAAAGCAACAGTTATGGTTCTTATGTGTTTGTCCCCAAAAATCCGGCTCTTCCAGAGCAGAAGTGCTTTCCCTGCAGGGTCTGGGCTGCATCCTATAGGGCATCCTATAGGGATGATGGAGAGAGGTGAAGGTGGAAAGGTGGAGCTCGAGGGACAGGAATATATCAGCCATGCTGGGCAGAAACGCTGTGAGCTGAAACTCCTGGAGTAAATAACTGCTGTATCGTTGCTGCTCTCAGAGAGGTGACAGCAACTGGGACAAATCAGGGACTTCAGTGATGCTGCAGGGGAAGGAAATACTCTGAAGGTGGGAGACCTCAACCACCAGAAATGGTTAGAAACCCTTAAGAAAAAAAACAAGGCAAAAAAATTCAGCACAAATTGAAACTGTACTGCACTGCTGCAAGAGGAACAGGTTGCCCAGAGAGGTGGTTGATGCCCCATCCCTGGAACCATTCAAGGTCAGGTTGGACGCGGCTCTGAGCAACCTGATCTGGTTGAAGATGTCCCTGCTCATGGCAGGGGGTTGGACTAGATGACCTTTAAAGGTCCCTTCCCACCCAAACCATTCTGTGAGTCTGTGATTCCATGAAGAGGCATGGCTGGCAGAAAGCAGCGGAGCTGGTGGTGAGACCTCTCCAGCAGCTGGGAATGCCACGGGGGAAACCAGGGGCTCCTGGCACAGGCAGAGCGAGATGCCCGGCAGCACATCTTCAAGGCCAGATGCTGCTCGCCTGGAAGCCCCGATGCGGGTGTCATTAGCCAACAGAGTGCACCCGGGTCTCCAAAAAAGCAGCAGGTGGCTTCAGCTTAAAGATGCTGAGCTGTTAACAATGGGTCTGGGGGCTCTTGAGGAGTGGGAACAGGTTACGGATGGGGCAGAAGGAGCTGGTGCAATGGGCTCTGTGGCTGGACCCATCCCAAATGCGGCTGGGGAAAAGCCCATCATCGAAGTCAATGCTGCTTTGGGATGGGTTAGTGGGTCTGACCAAAAGCACGCCATTCTAGGTGTGCTTCTCCTCCCCAACCCTGACCTGTGCTACTGCATTAGGCTTAAACTGCGTTGGTTTTTTGTTCGGTTTTTTTTTTAGCTTCATGTACATCTGGCAGAGGAAAGGCCTTTTAAAAGAAAGAAGCGCTTTACAGATGATGTCAACAGGCTTGCACGGGTGCTTTAAAACACATCCCATCCCCTCTGCTTATCCTTCCCCATCCACCTTGGCTTTTCCTGTGCAGTCCTCCAAGCCCCTTCATTTCCTTGCTCTCCTGGAAGGCTCTTCTCCTTCTTTTCTCTTTTTCCCTTCTTCCCACCTCTCTTTTCTTCACAGAAGCTCTCCGGTGAGCAGAGAGGACAGTCTCTTCAGTGGCACAGCTTGCTGACCTCACCCTGGGGTGAAGCCTAGCTCCCCGAGGTGTCAGGGCTGGAAAGCATCCCTAGCTGGGGACAAAGCCCTTGTGAGCTGGAAAGGAGACAGCCTCGGGGCTGGGACAGAGCCCACGAGTTCCGGAGACCCCCTTGCTGGCATCACTGCTGGTCCTCCCAGGAGGTCCTGCCCAGCGCCTTCACCCAACAAGTGCCAAGGTCTCGCTCGGCTGTTTCCCGCTGTGGGTGAATCAGTGCAGCTCAGTGTTTTTTTCTGGACTGCGCACACAATTTTGGCACAGATGCCACGATGAGTGACCCCCAGCTCTTCCCATGGCAGGAGCTCAGTCCCCACTGATGCCCTGCTCCTGGGCATCACCTCTGCTCCAAAAATCAGCACTGCTAACAGAGGCAGGGCACAAAACCTGCAAAGCTCATGGGAGAGGGCATCACTGGAGGAGGGTGGACAGAGCTCCTGGGTCTGCAGGGTGAGGTGGACCACCACGGTCTCAAAGCAAGCCCTAGGAGAAGCTGCAAAGCCCCATCTTCACAGGCAGAAACATGTTCTGCCTTCAGCAGCATGCCAAAAACCTCCTCCTTGCCTGCACGTGGTGTTTAGGAAGGGGTCTTCTCTTATTGCCCCGAATTTATCTATAAATTAGCGATCCCTACCTTGGCTCGGTTACTGCTGTTTCCTCCTGAACGTGTTCCCTGCACGATGTTCTCCACGGAAGAGTGAAGAAGACTGATGTACACTGACTTTCCAGAATAATTTTCCCCATTTGGAAATGAGGAAAATAATACTCCACTGGGGTAATTTTGAGGGAAAATGCATCAAGGATAGGAAAATACCAACAGGGGAAAATACTCATGACTCTGCTGTGGAGAGGAGAAACGAGCCCTTGACCAGGTCAGACCATCTCTGTGAGACGGTTTGACTCGGGTTTTTTGGTGAGGAGGCTCATCCACCCCAGATGCCCCCTGCCCCACGACAGGCTGCATTTCCCAGGGAACTGATAGCTCTCCTGTGCTCAGAAGAAAGTCATTATAGATGTGTAAGACTAGTGCTGCAGAAAAACAGGCCTTTACTTAAAGCTTGGGCTTGGACCATTGCCTGGCTTGGTGTCTGTTTCCTATAAATTTCAGAGAATCCTATAAACTGTAGAAATTCAGTGCTTGCTGCCAGCGTGGTTTGTTATTTATTGGAGAAGGGGTTGGATGGAACCCCCTTATCTGAGCACCCCTGACCTCTGGGAGGTGGGAAACAGGGGCTGTAGTTTGGGGCTCCCTTCGTAGGGGACACAGCCAAGCCCTGGAGGTGACCTCCATCCACATGGGCCAGCAAGGGGAGGTGGAGGCAGGGACCCCTGTGCTGGTGATGGGCTCTGGTGGGACCTGGGGGTGGTTCATGCCCCTGGGGAGAACACCTGATGGCTTTGCTGCCGTGGAGTCATCCTCACCCCAAACCAAGGACGCCTCCAAGAAACGCCCAAGGAAGGGGGTGCATCAAGGCCACGGCTGGTGGAGCCTTGGAGACAGCTTAACCTTCTTCAAGCCAAGAGGTCTCCTCAGATAGAGGGATTACTCTATACCAGTGAAAGGATGATAGCCAGAAGCAATGTACCGCATGGCAAAGATCCACCGACCCTTTGGCATGCCATCTGACCCATTACCTCCCAAAACCAAGAGCAGAAGTGCTTCATCTCCCAAGGCAAGGGGGCTTGAGTTGCAGACTGGCTTTGGGGAAGGGTCACCAAGCTTGTGGGGGTTGATGCTCTACTACTGTGGCGCGGCCACGGCTCTCCCCTGAAGGCAGGGGCTGTGCTGGGGGTGGTCTTCGCCACCTCCTGGGCTGGTAAGCCCTGGAGAAAGACTTCATCCTCTGTGTTGTGCCTCCAGAGAGCTTCTTGCTGCAGCTGTGGTGCCCACCACGGGGTCTGTTAACACATCTCAGCACTGACCCAGCACCGCAGGGTGGAAATGCGTTGCAGGAGCCCATCAACCTCCTTCCTCCAGAAGGGACCCGTCCCCTGGGGATGCACTTTGCAGAACAAATCTGTCATCAGGGCTTGGTCGTCTGCTGAAGCCCAATTCAACTGGCCCAGGCTCCTCAGGATAATTTGCTTGTCTAATGAGTGCTTGGCACCGGCCAGTGAGAAAAGCCCACTTTCCTCTGCTCCGGGGAAGGAAAGGAAACAGCGGTCCCGAAGCGCGTTGTGGTTTTGGTTGGCGGACCTCGGCGTTTGATGTGCTGCCAGGAACATCTCGGCGCCAATGTCTCCCTTGCGTTAGCACCCGTCCCTGCAGCGCTCATGCCTTTGCAAGGCTTGTGCCAGGGACATATCCAGGGATTCATCTGACCCTCTGCAGCATCAGACCAGGCGTTTTCACCCCGCAGCTCAGATGAAGTCCTGCACCCCCACAACACATTATTGCAATCCTGCAGGCCAGAGTTACCTCCAAAAAACCCAAGAGAGAGCACTGGAAAACAAGCATGAAATGCTGATTTCTTTATTCTTGCACCACGTAGGGCTCTGTGCCCCACTGGCAGCCTCTGCCTCGGTGGGAGGATGGAGACTTGTCCCAGCCACATCATACCAGAAACCCTGGGCGTCCAGTTAGATGGGATGGGGTGATGGAAGTAACACCCAGCAGTGCTCTTCAAGACTACACAGCACTGCATAAATATTGTCTAACCAGCCACATGGCTTGGAGAGCCATCTCCAGCAGCTAACTGTCCTCAGGAGGTCAGCTTGTGCCCGGACTGGGGTGACTGGGAAAGCAGTGGGATGAACAGAGCCATCGTGTCGGTAGGGCGGGTGATCACAGCAGCGAGGGCTTGAGGGAAAGAGGACCAGACGGGTGGTAATCCTGCAGGAAACCTTCTTGCCTTGGGCCACAGCTCTGGGAGCTTCATGCTGCTCCCTTGCTACAGGAGGCCACCGGCAGCATCTCATCTCCTGCATCTCCTTTCTACCTGGATCTAAAGCTCCCTGGGGCTGCACCAGGAGGCGCTGGCACTGGGAGGCAGATGGCGTGTCCCTAGGAAAAGTCCTTCTCCTAAAGACACCACAAAGAGGAGAAGGGATGGCAGATGTGCTCCTGCCCCTAGACTACAAGGAGCTTTCTGATGGCATGCAAGATAAAGGAGATGTCCACCGCTGTGGCTACCACATGTGAAGGATGGGCCACCAGACGCAACGTGGGGGTGTCACCCCAACCCCTGCCCCTGGCAATGACCAGCACTTTGGAGGACGTACAAGAAAATTGGACGCAAACTCTGGCCAGCTTGCCAGCTCCATGCCAACTTTGCAGATAGACCAGAGAGAGGACACTTAAAGAGGATGTTTTCCTTCAGCTTTCACATGTGTAATTCACCCAAGGAGCTTGTTACATGAAAGCAAGAGCTTGCAAGACAGATAATGCATGGGACCTCTGGAAGAAATGACAGCAACACCCCCAGCCTGGAGGTTCTGGGCATTTTCCAGACCCGGACATTGGTCTGTGGCCATGGCCCCAGGTACTGGCGGCCAGCGTGGCCACGTCGCAGGTCAACATCATCCACAAGCATGAGATGAGGGGAATACACCACTTTGGCCACCGGCAACCAGGGGTTGTGTCCCTTCCTTGGGCTGCGCTCTTCCTGCCTCCCCCTGCCCACAAGGAATTTTGAGGCAGCAAAGATCATGGTATGGGATTATCCATCCTGTTTTAGGTTGCAGCATGGTACTCCTTTTAAAAGGTGTCCTGGGACAGATCTGTCCTGCTAAATAGGTGTGTGGCCACTTCCTACACCCACAGCTTCTCCCTGCTCTTAGCTGGGGTGTGGTGAGGTGCTGCAAAACCACAGCAAGCCAGAAAAGGTCACCAGAAAACAAACACAAGGCTATTCCTAAAACCCTGCCGGAGCCAAGCGTGGGAGAGCAGCCCAGCAGGTCCTCACGGGGCTCTGGTGAGGGCTTGGTGCAGGCAGCGCTGCCTGCGCTGAGCCCCACTGCATGGCAGGAGCATCACAAACCCAACCGTTTTGCTCCTCTCCCTCCAAGCCCAACTCTCTCCACTGCTGTGCCTTGGTGGAAAGGTCTCCGTGCAGACGTTTTTCATGTGCACGCTCCCAGCTCAGCAAGATTTCCTCTCCCCCAAGGAGCTCCAGGAGGGTCCCAAGCCAGAGGACCCACCACTCTTACACCCATGACTCTGCCCCTCATCCCAATGGTCTCCAGAGCCAGTTTGCTGCCCAAAAAGCCCAGCCAGACCCCACAACCCAGCCGGGAGCATGCACAGAGGCTGGTCCTTACCTTTGAACCCCCGCATCCCCACTGGACCTGGAGGGCCAAGGTCTCCTTGGTCCCCTTTCAAGCCACGTGGTCCTGGTGGTCCTCTCTCCCCGGGTAGCCCTGCAGTGAGGACAAAGATGCAAAATGACTCTATTGCCACAGAGACCTACACAAACCAGATGTATACACACACACACACACACACACACGTGTCCTGCTTGCCAGCAGATGTGCCAGTCGGTCTCTGGTTCTTTGCCAGGAGTCGGGGACCATCAGGAGGCACCTGAGAGTCCAGCCCATCCTCTCTTTCTGCACCTGCCCCTGGATATGGGATGGATTTAACCCAGAGACAGGCTCGTGCTAATGCAGCTCTGAGCATCTTAAGGCTCAGATGAAGGTAACTGGGCTCCAAAGCTGGTGACCAAGGAGGAAGAGTGAGGAGCCAGGGTGGAGCAGAGACCCCAAGGAGTCACGATGTGCCCAGTCTGAGCTGCAGGTCCCTCGCATCCATGCATGCTGACCAGGTGGGTTTGCTATTTATTGGAGAAGGGTTTGGATTAAAAACCCTTACCTGAGCACCCCTGAGCTCCAGGAGGTGGGAAGTGGGGGCTTTAGTCTGGGAGCTTGGGCTGCCTTTGTAGGGGACACAGCCAAGCCCTGGAGGTGACCTTCATCCCCGCGGGCCACCAAGGGGAGGTGGAGGGAGGGACCCCTGTGCTGGTGATGGGCTCTGGTGGGACCTGGCGTTGGTCCCACCAAATCGACCCAGAAGGGACTCAGCCCGAGCCTGAGTTTGGGTTAGATCCAAAGCTCCTTGGGGGTGAAACTCCTCCAGCACCTGAGCTCAGCCCCCTGCCTGGCACGATGCTGCTGGTCTCCCCTGCCCGTATAGAGGGACCCCCGGATTCCCTGGGCGCTGCGCCTTCTGCCACTCCTGGGCTGGGCTTTTCCAAACTTAGTCAGTAGTTTCCTCTGGTTTAAGAGGAAAAAAAGGTGCCAGGAGGAATTTGGGCACCAGCTCTAGAGGACATGGTCTGGGGCTTAACTCTTTCCCTGCTGCATCTGGCCAACACCTCGCCTCCCTCCCAGGGGGATGCTGCAGCGTGTCACAACGTGGTTTCATATTTGGGTAGAGGAGCTGGGACAGAGGCAGGATGGTAGATCCGCTGTGCAAAAGGGGATTTACCAGGGATGCTTTACAATGCCTGGCTGCACCTGAACCTGAGCTTCCCATATCCAAAGGGCTGGTGCTGTGACCGCATCTGGAAAAGCACCAGAGAAAGCGAGACAGAGGAAGACCCAAAAATAGTGGCCCTTTCAGCAACTCTTCCTGAAGGTGAACCCTCCAGAGATTGTTTTGTTTTTCTGTTTAAACAAAAAAAAAAAAAAGAAAGAAAAGAGGAAAGCAGCCAGACGATATATTTCTGATGCTTGTTACACCCAAGAAAAACAGCCATGAATCTGTCAACGCAAAAAAATATAGCCGTCGGTGAAAGGAGCATGGGCAGCCAGCGCTGAGAAGGGCTTTCAGAGAGCGATTGGGTTTCCAGGCTGGCTCTGCCTAATTTGGCTGGTCCTGCCGCCCACCAGGGAGTGGGGGGAAACGGGGTACCAAAATATGAGGTTTTAAGACCAGCCTAATACCAGCAGCTCAGATGCACGGGGCCGGGGCGCTGAACCTGACTCTGACACCTATGTGGGTCATGTCTTCAGCAGTCAAGGTGAAGCCAGGGCTGGACATCCTCTGGGATGGAGAAGGAGGTCCATGCCCCTGGCAGGATGGGTCCTGTTGCCTCAATAGGAAAGAGCCTCTTGGGGACAGAAAATCCTTACCAAAGGGGATTCTCCATCACCTCTGTGCCATCCCTGGCTCTCAGATGCAAAGCCAGTATTTCTAGCTTTGGCTTAAAATTAGAAACAGGCTCAAGCCGAGTCCTGTTCCTCAGGGTGGGGGGTGTCTTCTGTTGTTTTTTTAATTGAATTTCTCTCAAAACCAATGGTTGGAATTAAGAAGGGGGGGGAAATATTGGCATTCTTCACATTGAAAAAAGCCTCAGAGCTGCAGCTGGTGGCCGAGTCCCCCCCTCCAGGCTGGAGGGACCCCACGCTGGGTCCCTGTGTGCTGCCAGGGGGGTGCAGGCAGCGGGGCCAGCCCTCGTACCTTGTAAGGGCTTGGTTTTAGTGAGCACGGGGTGATGGCCAGCCCCTGCACACACCTGGGCTGGGTGGCTGTGTCGAAGGAGCCTGGGGGCATCAACCTGCAGGTGATGGACCCTTGCAGCTCTCGCTGTCCTGGGGCCAGCTGGGAGATGAGACAGACTTTTTGCCCCTAAAGACTGGCTGTCTGGAGATGGGGCAGCAGGTTAATCCTGTTGTTCTTCAAGGCTTGTGCATAGCCAGCAAGGTCCCAAGGGACAGGTTGGGAAGTCACCAGGAGGTGTCCCGTTGACTCTATGGACTTTGGGTGAGGGCTTGCAGGGTTATGGGCACCCCGGATGTGTTATTCCTTACCTCGCAGCCCAGGCAGGCCGGGAAGACCAGGTTCACCCTCCATCCCTTCATTGCCTTGGTCTCCTTTGGGTCCTGGTGGCCCTGAAACACACAAAGGTATTGGAGCGCAGCCATCGTGCCCCAGCTTTGCAGCCGTGCAGCAGATGCATGTGTGCACGCACCCACCCACCCACCCTTCTCCAGCCATTAGCATTTATCAGGTGTCCAGGGACCTCTAACAAACACAGACCCCTGCAGACAGGAGCAAAGTGACAGCGAGGGAGCTTGCCAGCAGCCTTCCTCCATGATCTATGGATTTTGAAGGCCAAACACGACTACATCGACTTGTCTCACGTGCCAGAAAACTTCACCTTGCTGCTCCAGCGGTTCCACCTTGAGCGTGACTCTATGGGAAATTCCAGTCTCCTAGAATTTCCTTTTGACCAAAAGTTGTGACATCTCCAATAAAATAACGTTAGGGGGGGAAAAAACAAACAAAAAAGAAATGCATTTTGGAAATACTGAGATGAAGCTTTAGGAGGGGATTTGCATCACTGATCTCATCAGGAACTAGCCATTGGTAATTGCTTTGCAGTGTAAACTCTTGTGAGTGAGCAGAAAGTCCAACCCAGTAATAGAGTTATATTCCTTAGCCTGCAAAGGGCCAAGTCTGCAAAGCTGAAAACAATTATGAGCTAAATCAATTGGAAGAAAGAATTTGAACAGAAAAAAAAAAAAAAAGACTCATGGGATGATAGAAAATAGGGCAGAGAGAGGCCTGGAGGGGTCATTTGGTCTTTGTCCTACCAAGCCAGGGCGATAATTGGAAACTGTTAAACACTGTTTTCCTAGAAACCCCAAAAGTCATAATCTCACAGTTGTGCAGAAAGCAAACAACCAGCCAGGGCTACAGGCAATGTGGTAATGCAAAAGGATCAGGAGGGGAAGAGGGGGAATGTTTAGCAGTCCTAATGAATGAGTAATTAGGATCTGCAAATATTATGCAGAAATCAGGGGGTTCCTGAGCAGATGAACCACAGCAAGCTCAGGAAACATCCCAAGCTGGAGATGGTCAGGTGCGGGGAGGAGACTACAGGGAAATATTGCATTAGCTTGCCCTGGGTTTCCTCTTCCCTAGGTGATGCACATCTCCGGGCACTAAGAGGACATGGGGATGGACCCTAGACCCTGTTCTCAGTTGGCAAAACAAAAGGATGCAAAGAACAATGGACACGCAGGAGAGCTGAGTACAATGAGGAGGCATTTTCGGGTGGGAACAAGAGGAACCACGAGCAGCAGGGATGCTGTCTGCCTGGGGAGAGGCAGGATTGTCCATGATGGAGAAGGTCCAGCAATGTTCAAGAGCTGCTCCATGGGCGAACACAGGGCAGGAGCCAGGTGAGGTGTTGCGCTGTGTGAAGGTGCTGGGATGGCTGGTGAAACAGTTTTCACTCCCATAGCATTAAAGAAGGGCGTTACACAACAGCCATTAAATCATTGAATCACAGAATGGTTTAGGTTGGAAGGCACATCCAGTCCAACCCCCTGCCATGAGCAGGGACATCTTCAACCAGATCAGGTTGCTCAGAGCCCCGTCCAACCTGACCTTGAATGGTTCCAGGGATGGGGCATCGACCACCTCTCTGGGCAACCTGGGCCAGTGCCTCACCACCCTCAGCGTAAAACCACATATTCTTAAATCCGCTTTCTTGCCTGCTGGAGTTTGAAAAACTGAATAGATGGGCAAATAAATAAGCAATAGGAAGCACCTGATTGCATAAATGGCCGGTATTAAGTACAGCCGTTGATTTTCAGTGCCTCAAAAGAGCAAGGGGGAGGTCAAGCCATGCCAGTTTGTTAAAGTGCAATAATGTGTGTATGTTTAGGCTGCCCCATATCACCCAAACCCTTCTGAAACAAAGAACTAATGGAGAATGTATTAAAATAAGTTGATACCATTAACTTCAGCCTACAGGGTGTTACAGAAAGCAGAGCTTGCCAGAGATCCATGGCTTTATAGAGGTGATGGTGAGTTTGATGGGTAGCAGTGGGAGTGTCAAGGCAAAGAGGTTTTTCTACTAGCGTATCTCCTCCCAAAGGTCCCAGGTGTCCCAGGACGAGCAGCAGCGAAAACTCTGTATGACCCAGCCATGCTCCTGGGTTCGGGTCAAGTTCTTCCCTCCCCTGCTGCACCCCAGTATAGCAAAGGTTGGGCTGCTGAAAACCACTTGCTTAAACAAAACAGATGCTTTCCCACCGTGAGCAAAACTAAAAGCAACCCTGGACATATTTGCAGTGGGAGCCACCAAGGCAAGGTCTCCCATTTCATCACCCTGACTTTGCCCCAGGCATCCTCTCCGAAGGGAAGGGGTCCCACACCAATGGCACTGGAGCAAAACTACTGCTGACATGAAATCTCTTGCTTCTCCCACGCTGGCTCCGGCACAGCTCGGCTGAAGTCCCTTGTGCGGGGGTAGCTCTGACAACTTCCATCTGCTCTGGTTTTATGGGCATACTGGGAAATAATCCACACTAGGGCCCCACCTCAGTTCTGTTAACCCTGGAAGGGACATGGGAGCTGCCCACTCAGGGCACCTCTCAGTGGGATTTGGGTTGGAGCTGCCCTTCCTTCTTAAAATCAGCTGCTACAGTGCAGCTGCCTAGTCCTCTGCCACCATCTCATCTCATCTCATCTCATCTCATCTCATCTCATCTCATCTCATCTCATCTCATGTCTTCTACCATCTCAGAAGAGTATCCCACAGGACATTGCGGAGGTCAAGGGCATGGACAGGCTAAGAAGGGAACTAAGTTTTGTGGAGGATGACCATGGGCAACAGACAATCTCATCTGCTCCGTAAGAGCTGGAGACTGGGAGAAGGCAGCCAGGGAAGAGACATGTTGTCCCTTACTCCCTTTCTCTAATGCCTAGGCTTAGAAATGGGGCTTGGGCTTGGCAGATCGTCGGGTTGATCCTGTTTGCTGGCTCCTAGGTTTTGGCATTCATCCCTCAGAGCTATTCCCACAGTAGCAAGCCCTGTGGTCCATCAGCCACCAGAACATCACCTCTTGGCTACATCCAGGCAGCTCCATGAGCAGAGATGGTCCCATCCCCAGGGACAGCTGGTGGGATGGGACACAGGGAGCAGCTGGGGTGGAGGACGGAGGAGCACTGGGAGGGGCAGTTGGGAGAGGCTGAGCAGCACTGCAGACACCGTGCCAAGCTGGTCCCCACCCCAGAGGGTTTGGGGTTTACACTTGGGAAAGAAAACCCCAGCCCAGATGCACCCCTGCTTCACCCGCCTGCCTGCACAGGGCTGGGCTGCTCGCTGCACCAGCAGAGGAGAAAAACCTTCCAAAACCATCGGGATGAGGACTTTCATGACGTGCGCAGATCTGACGGCCAGATGGGACCGTTGCAATCATCCCACCAGACCTGCTGCGAGCCAGCACATCCCACCCAGTGAGTTGTGCGAGTGGATCCAGGCGGGCGGTGGATCTCAGGCATCCTCCCTCCTGGTGACACCGTTATTTAAGACCCAGAGCCCCTCTGTGCTGCGAGGCCAAGCCCTCTCCGAGGCACGTGAGCTGCTTGGCATGGTCGGCTGCTGGAGATGAGCCTGGGGACCTCCCGAGGCTGCCATCGCCAGCAAACAGCCTCAAAATCCAGAGCCCAGGGTAGCTAAAGTCTTGGGGGAAGGAAAATGCACCCCCAAGCAGGCAGCGCTGCATCACCCAGGACTGGCTCTGCTGGTGCAAATCCAGCTGGGAGCACAATGGATTCATCCAAGGACATCTGGAGCCAGGGTAAAGCCAGCTGGGCACAAGGCTCCTAAAATTATCCACAACACATCGCTGCCGACAGAAAGCAGGGAAGGAGGAGGGATGGGGAGAGAGGGAAGTCGGGGCTGCCAGGAATGTGTCAGGGCAGCGGCTGATAAATCAGGTGCTGGCCCGTTGGGAGGGGATTTGTTTTGCTTTCTGGTTAATTGGATTAACATGGCGCATGGGTATCAGGCTCCGTGACGGCCCCCTTCCTCGGTGGCTTCATCCAAGAGAGGGTGACATCCTCCCCATGGCAGTGTGGGGAAGAGAGGGCACCAGGGGTGGGTAGGCACCTAGCAAAACCTCAAAGCAATGGCTGCGACGTGGTCCCAGCAGCCCTGAAGCAGGCGTTGGGAGCCAACGTCCCCCAGGGACCAGGGAAATTACCCCAGTGAGTTGCTGGTACCCACAGGTGATGGTTGGCCTGGATGGGGAGATGTAGCTGCTGTGGTTCAAACCACATCTGTCCCCTCTTGGCTCAGCACACGGCCAGAGGGAGCAAGTGCCTTGGCGTCAGCTCCTTTCTTCCCCATCTGGTATTTCAGCTGGAAGCACCAGAAATGTGCAACAGCCTGTCGCATCTCCGCAAGTGCAAATCAACAGCCTAGAAGTGGGACAGCAACTGCCCCCCAACCTCTTGCTCTGCCCCCAGGAGCTTGCATTGGGCTCTTCTGTGTTTCTTCATGGTTTTTCCCCCCTCCCATGGCCAGTTCATTCCCTGGGACTGTGATCAGGTCATGGCATTTAACAGCCACCAATGTGTCCTGAATGAATTTGTCCAGCTCCTGCACTCATGAGATAATGGTGTGACAAATGGCTGGATCTTGGAGATAATGAAGACAAAGGGAGTAGATGCTTAGCAGACTGAGGGGAGGATTACCAAGGTAACCATATAACTAAAAAAAAAAAAGGGTATCAGGAAAACTAGGGTCAATGGTCAAGAGTTAGCAGGGATGGGTGGTTTATTTCACCACACTGAGGGTGGTGAGACACTGGCCCAGGTTGCCCAGAGAGGTGGTCGCTGCCCCATCCCTGGAACCATCCAAGGTCAGGTTGGACGGGGCTCTGAGCAACCTGATCTGGTTGAAGATGTCCCTGCCCATGGCAGGGGATTGCACTAGATGACCTTGAAAGGTCCCTTCCAACCCAAACCGCTCTGTGAGTCGATGATTCTATGATTTGGGAGGTGCTGAGGGTGGTAAAGGAGAAGATGGGAGGGGGAAAATGGAGTAAAGGGGATGTATGGTGAAGTGAATTATGTGATTGATGATGACTGAGGGTACTGGTGGGCAGCATTCTGTTTGATCGCCGCAGTACGAAGCAGGGCAAGAAACGCCCCCGTCTCTGCCGCGCTCGGTCTGGTTCACTTTCATGGTCAGGAGGGACCTGGCAGTTTTTTCCTGGCATCTTTGAGGGCACCTTGGGAGCTTTCTTCCTAACATGGATGGAGGAGCATTTGGGGAGTCCCAGAGTCCAAGGTAATGGAGACACCTGAACATCACAGACACCTAAACAGTGGTGCCTGGTGGATTTGATACACCAAGGAGTACCTGAAACATCCCCACAGGACATCCCCATGCCACAGCACCACCCAAAGCACAGAGAACACCCCCCATCCTCACAGCAGCTTCATGCACCGATGAGGGAGCTGCTTACAAGAGACGCTCGGCTTACCCCGTATGACAGAGATGTTCTTCAGTGCGACAGAGTGCTCCCAGTCCTTCAGCCGCAGGTCCTCTGTCACGTTGTTGAGGATGGCCAGCTCGTGCTTCAGCTGCTCCTCCATGGCTATATGGATGAGACGCATCTGCCGGGCATCTTCGGTGGCGTTGCTGATCAGCACCTGCAGGTCCTGGATGCGGGTATGGTGGATGTTGACGTCATAGGAGAAGGTCCTGTTCATGGTGTCCACGGCCCCGCTCACGGTCGTCATCTGGTCACTCAGGCTCTCCACCCTGCTGCCCAGGTGGCTCAGGAGATGGTCATGGTGCTGCAGCAGCAGCCGGCTGCTGTTGCCTTCCACGGAGAGCTTATACATCTCCTGCTGAGCCGCGTCGCTCTGCTGGGTCAAGCTGTCCCAGAGGTTGGACACTGCCTTGTCGGTTTGGCTGGCCTGGGTCTGCAGGCTCCAGAGAAGCCCTTCCAGCTTCTGCAGTGACCCCGTCATGAGGAACAAGGAGTCTGAGTGGTTCTGCAGGAGGTCCTGGAGCCTCCAGATGTGATCCAGCACATCCCCCTTCACAGGTAGGTGCAGCAGCTTCAGCTGCATGTCCCGAAAGCTCTCATTGAGGCGGTTGACGTTCCCCATCAGCACCTTCAGGTCCTCGGGGGATGTCTGCGGTCTGGAGACTGCAAGGGATGGAGAGGAGTGGGACATCAGAACCACCCCATGGAGGTGGGGACCCGCCTGAGAGGTGCAACCCTGTCTCCTCCCAAGGAGTGCTTGGATATCCCCCCGTTCCTTGGTGCTTGGAGGTAGAAGCCCAACCTCATAGCCCCAAAAGGCTCATCTCACCAGCCCCTCTTTGGCCCCACGGTTTTCTCCACGGTTGGAGAAGGAGGTTGGTTGCTGAAGGGCTGGAGAAGGAGGCACCTCGCTCGGGAGGGACAGCAAAGGCTCCCAGCAGCTCTGGGCTTCAGTGTGGCTCTGGGCTTTGCCAGATGGGTCACGATGCTACAAAGCTCTGCCTCATGGCTTCACCCGGCTCGCGTTTGCCTTTGGTCAGAGGACTGACTGCTAGCACCATCCGCTTCCCTCTCCTAAAAACAGACCTTAAAACCCGCTTCTTCCCCCACTGAGGTTTTAATTTTAATTTTAACAATCAGGTTTCCCTTCTGGCCACTGATCTTGGACCTCAGCTCAGCCCCTTGCTCTATAATGAAGACCATGAGGCTGGCTCGGCAGGTCTCCACGGCGCTGGGTGCGGTTTGCTGTCAGCCTCCAAGCACCACGTCCCGCATCCCGGGGCTGCCACGGCTCTTCCCGAGGGAGGAAACCCAACCCGGCTCAGGAGCATCCTTCACCCCCTGCCTCTGCATCGCCCGTGGCAGGGAGTTCCTGGCCACCCAGGCACCCACCCCAAACTCCTCCTGACCTGGTACCAGCTCCCAGAGCACCGAGTCGGGGTTCGGAAAGGGAACCTAGAAATTTGGGGGGAACCTTTTGCTCTCAGCAGTCCTAGCACCGCTCCAACAACCCTCTGCCCAACAAGCCCAGTAGCACCCAGTAAAGCCCGATTCTGGACCCCATCACCCCACCGCACACCTTGGTGCCCCCCAAAAAGGCTGATCCAGGCAGGGGAATATAATGTCCCTCTGCCTTGTGTTGATGCTGGGTCTCCAATGCAGCCCGGGGTGGGGGACTCAAAGCCAAATCCACACAAATAATGAGATTTTTTTTTTTTTTAAATAAATAATCCCCATTGTTCTTTAAGCTGTGGTGGGGCTTCGGCTGGCGTGACGCCGCGGGCTGGCGCAGGACCGGCCTGGCAGCTCACCCCCTCATTTCCATGGAGGAGAAACGGAGCGAAGCCATTTGGTTTGAATTAAAATCGCAGGAATAAGGAGAGGGTGAAAGCAGACGTGCACACGCGAAGAGCTCCAGGCCCCCCCACGCCAGGCTTGGGGCCACCCGCAGCGGTGGCACTGGGTGCCCGGCGTGGGGACTGGGGGACCCGCCGTGCCCAGAGAGGGGCTGTGGGAGCACCGTGGGGCGAGCAGCCCCCCCAGCTCTGCCATGGGCTGGTGGGTGCCATAACGGAGGAGCTGAGCATCTTCCAGACACTGAAGGCATCTTTCCCCCGTTAATTAGCCCCCGTTAACTAATCCCGCTGCTGGACTGTCCCAGTTCCCCAGCCTGCCAGCTCGGCGTTCTCCTCCTGGGGCATGGGGACGCTTTTTGGTCCCCTCTGTGCATCCCTGCTTGTCACCCGCATCACTGCAGGGGGGACATCTCAATGTCACCGGTTATCGCCCGTCCCTGCCGTGCCAGGCACCCAGTGGGCACCGTCTTTGCCCATGGGGGTTCACAACGGGGAAGGCAACCAAGCGACATCCCCAAGGCCACCCCGAGAGGGGACAACTGGCAAGGAAAGACCTTGGGAAAAATCGCCACAGGGCTGGCAAATGGGTGGGTGCCGCTGCCTTCTGCGTGGGTGACCAAAGCTGTTGTGTCAAGTGTTTCTCGACTCAGGGTGCCCATGATGGGTGCAGAGACAACCCACGGCTTCCTTGCAATGAAACCAAGGGGGAAAACAACGCTGTGTAGCCAGCACAAGGGGAAATAACCCAAATCCCAGGTCCTGCGGTGGCCGAGGGCTGGGAAGCATGGGCGGGCTCCTCTCCTTTGCACCTGCGGTTAGCTGCAAAGCCCGCGGAGTTCTCCAAATTCCCATAAATCACTTCCAATAACCAGCTGGGATCCCCGCGGCTCTCCTCTGCCCAGCTCTGGCACCGCAGACGCCAACCCGAGAGCAGCAACTGAGGCTGCTCCAGAGCATCCCGCAGCCAAAACCATGCCGGGAAGCTTCCAAGCAGCAACACCTCCAGCCTTGGGCTGCTCTGTGCATGCACGTACATGCGTGCCAGCGGCTCTCCTGCCTCCCAAATCTTCTGCCTCCCACTTTCCACTTGCCGGGTTGGTAGGACGGACTAATCCTGCCGCAAGGCAGAGGCACGGACATCGCACCGCTCAGCAGGTGAAGCTGTGGGCCAGGGCTGCAGGCGCAGGGCTGAGCCAGAGGAGCAGAACGTGGGCGTTGTGGGCCCGTAACACCCTCCTCGGTTTCTCTTCTTCGCATGAAATCGAGTGCTGGGAAGCGTTAGGGTTGCTAGGAGCCTGGAGTACACACACAGAGGCATGCACAGAGCTCATGTGCGCACACACACGCTCACACACGCATGCAGGCATGGGCACAGCACAGATACTTAAGCACACGAGTACATGCATGCCTGTGCACAGCACAGACATGTACACAGACACACACACACGCATGCACACAGCGCGCGCACACACACACATGCACGCAGCACATGTGCAGGCACACGGCACACACATGCGCACATACAGGCATGCACCCAGTGCGCACACCCATGAATGCACCCAGTGCAGACATGCAAATGCGCATGCATGCATACACACACGAATGCACACACACATGCATGCACACAGTGTGCACACAAATGCACGCTGCACGCATGCATGCACACAGCGCACAGAAACACACACACACACACGTATGCACACATGCACCCAGCACTGACATGTTCCCTGCCATGGAGCCCCAAAATATCGCCTGGCAGCACTGGGGGTGAGCTAACGGTCCTCAAAAGGCTCCGCGAGCAGCTTCTCCCTCCTGCTCTTGTGCTTTGGGGACATGCTGTCGTCCTGGCTGCTGTCCCCACTGGTGTTTCAAGGAGAAAAAGTCTGCAAGAATTCCACGGTCCTACCCCAAAATCCTTTCCAGGCCCTTCTGCTGCTGCTGAACCGAGCAGCACCACCCCTGTGCAAGGTCATGGCTTGCACACGTGCTCGCGGGCATGCACGTGGGCGTGAAAGGTGCTAAAAAGCTAACGGGCATCGAACGAAGGTGGCACAGTAGAGCCCTAGAGAGACAGAAGGAGGCGGTTTCATGTGGGTAACCCATGGAACAGCTTGCTGCAGGAAGGCTGGAAAAGTACAAGGCGAGAAATGCCTTGAGGTTACTAAATATACATATATTTATATAAATGCATACCTATATGCACACAGCACAATGCAAATGTGCATGCATGCACCTGCCCTCTCTGCACACCTGCATTGCAACCAGTGCAGATGCACCCTGAGCTGCACACACACACACACACGAGTCACGCTCACACACATTTTTGCACGACGGGGACCAGCTTGCTCCAGGGGAGCGTTTCGTGCCTGCACGCCATCGGCTCTGCCAGAGGTAATCCGGCCTCGATGGAAACCACCGCTTCACTGGGGCTAATGAAGAATGTGACCCGTGCCCTCGCGCTCCTGCTAATAATTTTCATGTGACTCGTCTCGGAGGAGCCTTGCAGAGGGGACAAGCACGCACACGCACAGCCGTGCACGCACACCGCTGCACTGCGCACCCGCACTGCCGCCCGGACCCGCTCCCGGGGGCACCCGTGCACCACAAGCACGTACAGGCACCTGCACCCTTGCACGGACCCAAAATCCGTCTTCCCCATTTTAGGCTCACGTATAGCCAAGGTGATGCTGCAAAGCAGATGCGTGCACGTTGAATACGGAAGTTTTCACCATCCTTGGCAATCCAAGTTTTGCAGCGTTACCCAGCTGCCGAAAACCAAGACGCTGCATGCAAAGTCTCTCAGGACACCTCAGTTTGGTCTCCAAGCTGGAAGCGCTGCTGAAGATTTGGACCCAGCTGTGAGCCCCGGGGCATTGCCACTGGCTCCCCTGGGTTTTATTTCTATGGGGCAGTCGGCCAGATGCTGAGCACGAGGTTCAACACGCAACTGGATGCACAACGGCAGCGAGTCTGGGCATCCCAAACCTCCAGCCCAAATATGAGCCCAACATCCTACGGCCTCAGCCCTGCGCGAGAGCATCTCCTCCAGCGTTTCGGAAAGGGTGGAAACCAAGCCCTGGGCTGGGAAAACAGCTGCAGGAGAAGGATTTGGGGAAGGATGGGGAGAGGGGGACAGTGGGGAGCAGCCAGCACTTGGCTCCAGCATGAGTTTCAGGGCTTATTAGCCCAGGCAGAGGGCCACAGGGCCCCGCTGCCGGCAGCTTTTCGGTGGCTCAGGTTTGCTTCGTGTCCCCAGGGAGATGCCGGCCGCAGGCACAGACCCGCTTTGGAGCCAGCTCATGGGGAGCAGGAGGAGTTTGCGCTGGAGCTGACCGGGGAGCGCTCACACCATGGGGCTGGGGCTGTTGCTCTCATCTCTGCTGGCATCCTTGGAACATGAGTTTTGGGGCTACAGCTCTTGAAACGGAGGATGCTTGTTTCCTTGGATGCTTCTGCCAGGCATCCAGGGGTGCCAAGCATGGAAATGTGGCCACTCTCAATATAAGCACGGAGATGGGGTGCAAGTCAGATGCCCATCTGTATGCACGGTTCACACGAAATCGCTTGGGTCATTAGCCGCGTCCTAACGAGCCCTGCCTGACCTCCTGCTGCTGCTGGAGCAGCTCAGGGCTGGGTGCCTGGGGTGCCTGGGCATGGGGCCAGGTAGGGATTTGGGTTCAAACACCAAAGTGCAAGTCTGTGCATGCAGGTGGCTGGGATTTAACCCAGACCTTGCAAAAAAGCCAAGACTGGAGTTCTAACCTTGGGCTAGGTGCCTTTTTAGTGGATGAGGAGAGGTCAGGGACAGGGAGAAAGGGAGTGTGTGTCCCCAGGAGCCAGAAAACTGCTGCCAGGCTTGCGAGAGAGGATATTAAAAGCAGGCTGCGTTGAAACCACCCCGGCTCTGTTGCTGAAAACATCCTGTTTCCGCAGCTCCGAGGTGGTTCAGGGTATTTTTGGCAGTTTACCCATTTTCGATCCCTTTTCACGGCATGTCTTGCGAGTCACAGGACACCTGCCCAAGCCTGCTTCAAAATGATGCCTGGGGGAGCTGCCTTGCCAAAAGCACCAGGTTCACCTCTCGGGAACACCAGCATGGATTCGGGGACTTATCTCCAGGGGGTGGTTTCCCGTGCAATGCCCCAGCCCTGCTGGGAAACACCGTGGGGTGTGCAAGTGTGTATCTGCACACACATGCATGTTTCTGTGCGTGTTTGCACACATACATGCTTTCCAAGGAGGCTTTTGGGAATTTCCCTCCTTTCCCATGGGCAGGATGGGAAGCAGCGGAGCAAGGCAGGCGGAACATCCCTGCTCTGTGTTGCTGGCCCTGGGGTGAAGGGATGCTGGCAGTGGAGGGCATGGACCAGGGGCACAGTTTCCCCGTCACCCTTCCCCAAGACAGTGTGGTGAGAGTTGCTTTTTGGGGAGCAGCCGCGGTATCACAGCCCATCCCTCTCCAAAAAGCATGAGGTCTGGAGGTGAGCTGGACACCCCATGCTCATTTGCCCTGGGTGGGATGGTGTCTGCTCCAGGTGGGACCTGCTCTGAGCAGGGTCCTCACCGCGGCTGTGGGAGGACAGGGATGGACAGGATGGAACATCAAATGGTGATGTTCCTCTTACAGCATCGTGGCCAGCTCTTCCCAGCTCAAGGAGCAGATGAGAGCAACTCTACTTCTCTAAACGCTGTGTCTTTCTGTGCACCTTCCCCTCTGATGGGAGACAAGGGATGCTGGGCAGAAGGTCTCAGCTCTGGCAAGCTGGTGTCTGGTCTCCAGTAGCACAAAGTGGGATTTTCCATGGGAAAACCAAGCCCTCCACCATTAAGGGTGCCCATGAATATCCAGTCCTGGTCCTCCAAGGACCATCAGCTCCAACGTCGAGGTTTCAGCCACAGATACCTGAAGCTGAGGACCGTCAGGATTGTCTCCCTGGGCTACATGTGGCTCCCAGCTGGATGTGGTCTCCTCGCCCTGTTGCAAGACCACCCTGTGCCTGTGGTTTTCCTTGATGTGATAAGACCGTTCCGGGCACCCACGGTCGGCACAGCCGGCTCCAGACCTTGTGAGTCAGCTACATCCAAAGCCAGAGGCTTGGCTTAAAGTTCCAGACATGCAGAAAGCAATAACAAAAGAGATGATTTTTCTCTTCATTTTGCTTTTCTTCTCCAAGATTGCGGTCCACCACCCAGGGGGTAAGGTGGTTTTACTGGGGTCTTACTGAAAGCTGAAATCCTGCCAGTCACGGGACTCCAGGAGATGGGGCTTTGAAGACGCCCGTGACTGTGAGCCTCCAGCTCTCCCTGCCGTCAGCCGATGCCATAATGTTATTGTTATTGCTGGAGCTGCTTTTGGGTGAGCAGCTGTAGCTCAGCCCAGGACAAGAGTGCCTGTCCTGAGCTTTTTGCACAATTCATGGCATCCCTCGCTCAGGGTTTCGCAGGCCAAAAACAACATTAAAACAATGTAATGCAAGAAATAAGTGGGAGAGGCTTCAAAATTCCAGCAAAACCTTCTCTGTCCCTTCCCTAGCCCAGGAAAAACAAAAAAACCTAAATCCACCCTTTGCAAAAGACACAGGCTGCCTTCACAGCGCTGGCATTACCGCAGCTGGAGTTAAACTTGAAATCCGTCACCCCCCCAGCTGCCTGCAGCAGGCAAGGCACAGGCAAGGCACAGAAAATCATCCCAAAGGGATGGTGCGGGGGCAGTGCTCAGCCCTGCCCAGCAGCTAGTGGAGATTTGGGGTTGGAAAGGGCATATTCCACCCCCACCCCCCCCATGGATGCTGGGGTTAAAGCTGGGAAGGAGGTGGGTGGGAAGCAAGGAACTGGTCCTTGGTGCTGGCATTTCCCACCCACGCCTGCTGCGGCACCCATCCAAGCCCCCCCACCCAGCAGAGCCCCACATGGGGGTGGTACGGGTGCAAGGGGGATGGTACTGGCACCATGGGTTAAATCAGGCATCTTCACAAACTGCTTCCAGCACGGCGAGGGGGAAAACAAGCCGGCGGCGACGTGGACCACATGGGATGTGTACGCAGGGATGAGCTGAGGCTGGGAGCAATTACAGGCATCTGCGAGCAGCTTTCCCATCCCTGGGCTCACCAAAAAGCTGGAGAGGGGAGGCAGGAGCCTTGCCGGCACGTGCTGTGCAAGAATAACGCCCTGCCTGTGAGCTGCCTGCATCTCCATCGCTGATGGAGCCAGGGCTTATTCTTACCCCAAGCAAAATGGGGGGGATTGGTGCAAACCCAGCAGCCGTGACCTAGTGATGGGAACAATTCCAGCCCTGAACACGGGGTTCCTGAGCACCTCCTGAGCCTCACCATCCCCAGCACGTGATGTTTGGACCCTGCAGCAACTCCAGCCTCAAAGCTTAAATCAAAACCACTCCAGATGTGCAGTATGGAGCAGCATGGGCTCATGTCATTGTCCCCAAGGAGCTGAAAGTGCACTGCGGAGGCGATGCCTGCCTCGGTTTGCAGCCATTGCTTTCGGGCAGGCATCGCCTCCTCGCCCCACTTCTGCTGGATCCCGTATTTTCCTCCCTTGAATGGCATGGAAACCCTCCTGAATGCCACCACAGATGGAGCAGAATTGTGGTCCCATGCTCATGGCCAAACCCAGTTCACATTGCACCGAGCTTCTGCACAGGGGAGCATCACCCTGGGGTACCGCTGCACCCCACAGGGAGGACCCAGGCTCAGCCCTTACCTGCGAGGATGAATACTCCGACGAGGATGAGGAAGACGAGGAGGTAGAGTCCCACCACGGCGTACTTCAGTGCTGCCAAGGAGCCCAGCCGGCTGCAGCGTCCTGCTGCCTTCATCCTCTGCCTGGGACCTGGGGGACAGGGCAGGGTGTCAGGGAGAGCATCATGCACCCAGTCTGTCTGGGTTCCATCTCCCAGCGGGAGAAAATATTGCAAATATAATTTTGGCAATGCCTTGCAGGTGCAGGCACAGCTCTGCGTGCCCCAGTGTTGATCCGCCCAGGTTGCCCAGAGAGGTGGTCGATGCCCCACCCCTGGAAACATTCAAGGTCAGGTTGGACGGGGCGCTGAGCAACCTGATCTGGTTGAAGATGACAGAATCACAGAATGGTTTGGGTTGGAAGCGATCTTAGAGATCATCTAGTTCCACCCCCCCTGCCACGGGCACGAACACCTTCCACTAGACCAGGTTTCTCAAAGCCCCATCCAACCTGGCCTTGGACATTTCCAGGGATGGGGCATCCACAACTTCTCTGGGCAACCTGTTCCAGTGCCTCACCACCCTCACAGTGAAGAACTTCTTCCTTATAATCTAATCTAAAGATTGGCCCATGGCAGGGGGGTTGGAACCAGATGATCTTTAGAGGTCCCTTCCAACCCAAACCATTCTAAGATTCTAAGATGCCTGGATCCTGACATCCCTGCCAGTCTCTGCTTGCCCAACCCTGCACTAGCTGCGATCCAGCTCCTCTTCGACGCTGCCACAAGCCCTGAGCAGCAAGAGCTGTGTGTGAAGGAAGTGGGGTTTTATGAATCAAACAGCCAGGAGGAAAATGCAAGGAAAGACAAGGAAAGGCTCCTGTGCCATGAACCCAGCGGCAGGGAAAAGTCATCTGGTTTTGGGCTTTGCACATGTTCAAAGCTTGAGCTCATGTTGAAATCTGGGCCAGGTTGTGGTCTTAGGTGGGAGCCGGAGCCTGATCTGGATACAGACCCCGCATCCCTCTGCCCCCAGCCCCAAGGCTGCAGCGGTGCTTCAGCCTGACGCCTTGGCTCTCTGGGTGACCCCGTGCTGCTGGGATGGGGTGCAGGGCGCTGGGTGCCGGCATTTTTTTGTTGGACCCCTGTAGAAACACAAGGTTTCTGAGAGCAGCTGAGAACCAGCAACTTCATGCCAGGACAACAAGCGCTGCCTGGTTTTGCCCCTTGCCAGATCTGAGATGCCTCCAAGAAGGCACCACCAGAAGGTGGAGGAAGAGTCCCAGACTCCCACCCCCTTGACTTTTGGGTGGCTGCACCCCATTGCTTTCTGCCTCTAAGCCCTGAGGCACAGCGTAGCACCGATCCAGAGCCTGCATCAACCCAGCAGAAAGGGTGAAGCACCACAGCCCCGAAGCCGAACCTCCTGGGGAGGAGACCACCCTCATCCATGGCCATGAGCAATGCCCACCTCCAGCCGGGACCATCCCTGCTGGGCTTCGGGACCTCACCCCATCCCACCCCTCGGCTCCCTGTGGGACCAAGCTGGCCCTTGGGATGCCAGAGATGGAAAGGAGGTACAAGGGGCTGGGGGTGTCCCTAGCCTGGCAGGGACCCTTCCCCACTGCACCCTTGCCCTTCCCCAGCCAACGGTCCATGCGTCCGTCCCGCTGGAGGACCGGGAGGTTTGCAAAAGCCTCCAGCCAGCAAAGGGTTACGCTGGGTGTATCGCTTAACTCGGCCCCATTTTGGGGCTCCAAAATGATAAAGTGCTGAGGTCAGGCTCACCGACACCCAGAGGGGATCCCGCGGGGACGTGGGGTGCTCGAGGCCCCCCAGCTCAGGTGCGAAAGGCGGTGCCTGTCCTGCGGGACCCCTCCATCTGCAATTCATTACCCGCACGCGGTTCCCATTTGCTGTCACCGGCCAAACAGATGGAGCCGAGGGCTTCAGAATGAGGAAAGCTGCAATATTTTTCTGACATTAACACTTATATCAGGTCCTGGGAGACTCCGGGAGGAGCTGGCCCCGGGCCCCGAACCACCCACTCCTCTTTGCTGCTCTCGGAAGAGCAGGAGGGACCGCAGCTGCGTAAGCAGCGTTTTCACAACAGCCCGCTCCGAGGAGCCCACGGGCGGGCTCCGGCCAGTAACCAAGGGGAAAAGCAAATATTTCTTCCCCCTGCCCATGCCCCGGGGAGCTGGAGCTGTGGCCCGCCCGGTCAGTGGGGGAGCAGAAAGTGGGAGGCTGAAAGCAGCCAGGACTTGTCATCCCCCAAGCCCTGGGGGGTGTCCGCGGCTGCTGTCCTGGGGGTCGTGGCAAGCAGCAGGCTGCTGCACTGGTCCTCAGCCCCAAGCTGAGCATTTTCCGTGAGCCCAGGAGCCCACTCAAGTGGTCCCATCCTCATGATGAAGCTCTCAGGGTTGTCCTCGACCCTGCCCTGTGCAGCTGCAGACCAGACGCAGCCCCACAAGTGCTGCTCCAGCAACCTCTCCCGTGGGAATGGGCTTCCTTGGAGAGCCAGCTCTGCATCGGGGGGAGTTGTGGATGAGCAGATTTGCCCTGAGAGATCCGGGGCCACCTGCCACAAAAACACCAAAGCCAGGGAGATACCTTGAACCTCACACCGGGGCAAGGTCTCTGCTGGGAATGGTGGCCTTAGTCATGGAGGACACCAACTCCTCCCTCCCATCTCTTCCAGCATCGCTCCGGGCTCCACCACCCTCTCTGCCCATGTCGGCAGAGTGGCAGAGCATGGGGACAGCCCCTGGGCAGGATCTGCCCCTCTCTCTGCTGCAGGAAGGTGCCGCGGGCGTTAGACTTTACAAGCCAACAGCAGGAGGGAGGGCAGAGGCAGGAGCAGCCACGCTGCTGAGAGCAGGGGGACCCTCGCAGGGTGACGCCGAGTTTGGGGAACGGATTCAAGGCTCAGGCTTCACCCGAATGGGAAATCCACCCTCTGGATTCAAAGCTCTCCCTATCGCAGGGGCTGGAGGGCAGGAGAAGGCACCCACACAGCAGTGCCACATCTCTTGCAATAACCATCACGAGCCGCTTGCACCTTGCAAGCATCCAGAAGCAATTTGTCCAGAGCTGGGTGTTCCCAGCTCACTCGGTGCCTGGATGCAGCCCAGCCTGGCACACGGGCTGCCCCCTGGAAGCACCCCGGGCTCTCCATCACATCCCGGGGATGTCCCACGTGCCTAAAACCAGGAAAGCGAGTCCCCCCCTCACCCCGACCCCATGCTTGTGGTGGGGGACAGCAGTGCTGGGAAGCCTGCTCAGAACAAGACCGGTTTCCCCAGCAGCGCCGCAGGTCTCCAAGCAAAGCTGTCAGCAAAGGGGACCTCACATCTCTGCTTGAGCACCCAGCTCTGCCTGCAAAGGCCTCGGGAAAAATTCATCAGGGCTGTTTGCCTGGGGACCAAGCCTGGATCTGGTGAAACATAGACAGTATTTCACGCAGCAAGAGTGAAGGAAAAGAGCTCAGCAAGTCCACAGTGCAGACAGAGGCCAGCTAAGATGTGCAGGAGATACAAGCAGGTCCCGCTGTGTCCCGCTGCACAGCCCTGGTGCTACCAGTCCCGCTGCAGGGCATTTCTGGACAAGACTACATGCAAGAGAGCCAGAGGCTTGGAGGAAGAAGGGAAAAAAAAAAAAAAAAAAAGAAAAAAAAACCCCCCAAACCCAACTTTTAGGAAGCAAAGTGACTTTCCATGGAGCACGACCCTGGTCAGCAGCAGAACTGAATGAGATCCTGCACACCTCAAGAGGCTCACGGTGCCCTGGGTGTGTCATCCCCCATCAGACCAGAAAGGGGGGGACAGGACAGGAGGCACGGAAACCCCCTTGCAATGGGATTTTGCGAGCGTTTCTCCCAGTGAGGCTGTGCCAGCAGGAGAGAAGAATTTTCCTGCTCTGTTTGGGACACACACACATTCATCATGGTGCTACCTCCACCGAGGCACCCTCACCCTGGGCACCCTCCCTTCCCGGGGCAGGGATTGCTCCTCTGCTCTGGTCCCCTGGGACCACCGGCTGGAGCTGAGCACCTAACTCGGGTCAGACACCTTTGCCTGCATGGGGCCGAATTGCTGAGCTTCTTCCTGAGCAATCCAAGCTCCCGTGTCCCTCCCCCAGAAGCTCTCCAGGTTTCTGCTACCAGGTTCAAAGCCCCCCCCCAGACTGGAGCCCATACTCACCGTCCTCGCAGAGGTTCAGTTTGGAGAGGTTCCTTCCCTCGAAGGGCTCCTCAAAGACGGAGCCGTTCTCCCTCTCATTGAAGGTGTGAAGGTACATGGCCTTGTTCTCCATCCTGCTGCTGGTGGAGCAGAACAGGCACATGAGATGGTGCTTGGTGGCTAGGGTATATCCTGATGTGGCAGGGGCCCGATCCAGGCTAATCCTGTACCCTGCACGGCTCGGGCACCATGGTCCGGTGCAATATGGTACGGGCTGGTGCTGGGGACACAGACCTGCTGCCAAGGGAGCCCTCTGCTCTCGCTTGCCAAAGCTGACCACCACATCTCAGCATGGGGTTTCTTGACCTGCCCATGGCCCAGGCTGGGCTTGGCAGTGCCCCAAACGAGAGCCAGACCGCCACAGCGAATGCGGGGAGAAGCTGGTGGGCAAGTTCAGCGGGACCACGGGCCCGCCACCAGCTAGTCCTGCCTGCGCCCTTGCAGCTCAGTGAAATGCTCACCACCGACACAGGACCCCTGGCTCGTTGGCCAAGGAGGGGTTCCTACACCCACCTCTGCCTGACCACGTGCCCTGCGGACGTCCAGCCTCGGTGCCCGCTCCGGGCACGTGCTGGATGTCTGTCCCTCCCCAGGGCTGGGGAGATGGAGGCTCAGCGTATGCATACAAGCCCCCCAGGACCTGTTTCACCCTTAGGGTTTGGGGTACCCCTGCACCCACACCAGCTCTAGGTACCCCAGCACCATGAGCCAAGCCTGCCCCCCTTCCTGGGCCTGATCCTGCTGTCACTGCCTCTCTGGTCAGGGTTTTTTTTGGGCTGGTCCTGGGGACAGGTCCATGCCCACAGTGAATACTGTCAGCCCTGGGTAGGTTGTGTCCCCTCTGCCAAAGATGTTTCATCGCAGCACCCGGCTGGGAATCAGCCCCCAGCAGGGCTCTGGTGTGGAAGGAGTTAAAATCACCCCCTAAGTGGGACCTGCTGAGCACCCCCAAACTCATCCCCTGCACCCCTGCGACTCCCCCAGCTCCAGCCGCCCCTTGCTGTCAGCACACGGGTGCTCCGCTCTGTGGGGACCCCCAGCTCCTGCCCCCCCCCCCCCAGCTAAAACCAGCCCCACTGGGAGCAGAATGGGCAGGGACCTCCCTGGCCGGCAGCAGCATCCCCAGCCCCTGGTCCCAATCCCACGGGGAAAACATCACCCGTGTAACCCGGGGGGGGG